CGTCCCCACTGGTGGCACAGGTGGCCTGGATGTACCAGTTACGGTGGCGCAGGGAGTGCAGCCCCAGTTTGTCTGTGATCTCCGCTGCGTTCATGGCATTGGGCAGGTCCTAGGACAGAGATGGGGTCACTCGCCAGCCCCAATACTGCGGGGATGGGTGCCATGCCACCGCAGGGGCTGACAGCAGCCCCGATGCCACGGGGATGGGCGCCATCGTGCCACGGGGACTGGGACCAGCCCTGATGCTGCGGGGAGGAGCACAAGCCTGCCATGGGGATGTGAGACGCCAGCCCTGATGCCACGGGGACAGGCACAGTCCAGCCAGAGGGAGTGTTAAAGACCAGCCCTGATGCCACAGGGACGGGCACAGCCCCGCCACAGGGGCTGTTTAACGACAGCCCTGAAACCATGGGGACAGGCACCATCCCACTGTGGAGGCTGACACCAGCCCTGATGCCACAAGGAGAAGCATGGGACTGACACTGAGGCGATAGACACCAGTCCTGCTGCCACAGGGATGGGCACAGCTCTGCCACGGGGGCTGTTAAGATCCCAGCCCCAATACCATGGGGATGGGTACGGTCCTGCTGCGGGTGTTGCTAGATACCAGCCCCAACACCCCAGGGATGGGCAGGCTCCTGCCACAGGCACCCAGACACCAGCCTCTACCCCCCGGGGATGGTCCCGTCCCCACCATGGGGGTTCCTCCCCATTCCCAGACCCACCTGCTTGTTGGCGAAGACAAGGAGGACGGCATCCCGCAGCTCGTCCTCCGCCAGCATCCGCATGAGCTCCTCCCGTGCCTCGTTCACTCGCTCCCGGTCGTTGCTGTCCACCACGAAGATCAGCCCTGGGGACAGTGAGGGGGCGCTGCTGGGAGCACAGGATCTGGCTGGCCCCGCGGCTGCCACACTCCCTGGTGAGCCCCATCCCCTCCCTGCGTCCCCGGGGGGGACCTACCCTGGGTGTTTTGGAAGTAATGCCGCCAGAGGGGCCGGATCTTGTCCTGCCCACCCACGTCCCACACGGTGAAGCTGATGTTCTTGTACTCCACTGTCTCCACGTTGAACCCTGTGGGGAGCGATGGCGGAGGGAAACTGAGGCACGCAGGGCCACAAGCCCCCTCCCAAGGAGCCCTTATGGGGAGGGGTCCCCGCCTGGTGCCCCCCCGCCTCGCACACCTATGGTGGGGATGGTGGTGACGATCTCCCCCAGCTTCAGCTTGTAGAGGATGGTGGTCTTCCCTGCGGCGTCCAGCCCCACCATCAGGATCCGCATCTCCTTCTTCCCGATCAGGCTCTTCAGCAGGTTCCCGAAGATGTTGCCCATGGTGACGGCGGCGCTGGCTCTGTCCGCAGGCGAGGCCGGATCCTGCGGGGGCATGGGGCAGGTGCTGGGGCAGGGCGATGGCCCTGAGGAGCAGAGGCTGCAGGGCTCCAGGGATCCCCTATGCTCGAGGGGGGGGCTGCAGGGATCAGGGCCCCCCACATCCTGGGGGGATGCAGGGTTTGGGGAAACCCCGGGGGAGGGCAGGGACAGGGCCACGCACTCCGTGGGGACTACCTCTGGCTGCAGCTCAATGTGGGGGGAGCATGCTGGGGCTGGGGGTCTGTGCTGCACCCTACAAGGGGACAGGCCAGGGCTCTGCAACGGAGGAAACTGAGGCATAGGGTCCCAGCTCTCCTC